TCGAAATAAATAGATCATAGACGTCATACAATAAACTTGGGCATCTGTCAACATAATCCCATAGAAACATTAGTCGATTTGTATCTGCATCATAAAGTTATTCTCCATTAAAAATGTCAGTTTACGAGATAAATTCTCGTCATTTACGGGAAGTTTTAATTTTCTGCTTCAATATGAAGAAATCTGCGGCTGAGGCTCACCGAATGCTCTCAAATACTTATGGTGAGGCCGCTATTAGTGAAAGAACGTATCGTGAGTGGTTCAACGCTTCAAGAACGGTGATTTTGACGTCGAAGACCGGCATAGCGGTGGAAAAGAGAAGGTTTTCGAAGATGCAGAATTGGAGGCATTACTTGATCAAGACTCGTGTCAAAATCAAAAAGAGTTGGCACGATCATTGAGAGTGACTGAACAAGCCATTTCAAAACGCCTCAAAGCCATGGGAATGATTCAGAAGCAAGGAAATTGGGTGCCGTACGAATTGAAGCCGAGAGATGTTGAACGGCGTTTGTTTGCTTGTGAACAGCTGCTTGAAAGGCAAAGACGGAAGGGATTTCTGCATCGCATTGTGACTGGGGACGAAAAATGGGTTTATTACGATAACCCCAAGCGCAGAAAATCATGGGGAGTTCTCGGCCATGTTTCCACGTCGACGGTCAAACCAAATATTCACGGCTCCAAGGTCATGCTCTGTATTTGGTGGGATCAGCTCGGCGTAGTGTATTATGATCACTGGTTCACTACATTACATCAATATTTATCGAATGTTGTTGCATTGTTTCAATATCTATCAGCAAATTATCCAACAAACACTGAGTAAAAATTATATAACTATTATTTGATGTTTGCTAAGTATATTATAATGTACTGTGAACACTATAAGGATACATTATATAAACATGAATTGTAAAAACATCGTTGGAGTCATCAGAATCACCGCGTGCGCGCTCGATCGTCAAGTTAAGGAACAGTTTAATGCGGTCAGGACATGGATGGATGCTCAGTGGTTATACTGCTTGGGATCGAAATTATCGCTGGAGGATAATGAGCTGTTAAAACCGACTGAAACAATCACAGGCGATCGGTATCGAACGCAATTGATGCGTTTGAGCTGAGCATTGAAAGACAAACAGCCGCAATACAACGAGAGACACGATAAAGTGATTTTGCAGCATGGCAATGCTCGACTCCATGTTGCGAAAGTGGTCAAGATATATTTGGAAACGTTAAAATGGGAAGTCCTACCCCACCCGCCGTATTCTCCAGACGTTGCTCCCTCTGACTATCACTTGTTTTGATCAATGGCACACGGCCTAGCTGACCAGCACTTCCGGTCTTATGAAGAAGTAAAAAATTGGATTGATTCGTGGATCGCCTCAAAAGATGACCAGTTTTTT